TAGTGTGGGGGACTGGTCCCTGGTTTGGGTGGTCGGGGTGGCGGGCCGCACTAGGACTGGTCCCTCAGCCAGGGTGGTCGGGGTGGCAGGAAGGTGATGTGCAGAGCTGGGGAGTGGCCCCTGTTGGAGGGTCACTGCGGGGCTGGTGGCTCAGGTGGAACCAGGAGACGCTGACGTGGGCCTCTCTTCCCGTAGCATCCAGCATGTGTATGGGGCTCAGCACCCCCCTTTCGACCCGCTGCTGCATGGCACGTAAGTCACCCTGACCTGAGGACCTGCGGGACTCTGGTAGTCTACTGCTTTCTGCTTACCCCCTGCTACGCCCCCACCTCCCTGCCCTGCCGCCGGGCAGAGAGAGACTTGCTTTCTCAGAGCAGACATGGGCTAGAGCCTTCTTGGGGGCCATTGCTTTGTGGGGAGGTAGGCTGGGCAGCTGCAGCTCATGCAGGGGGCACTGGACCCAGAGGGGAAGGGGGGTAGGGACTTGGGACCCAGCAGGGCAGGGACAGTGGGCTCTGGACCAGCAGGGGTGGGGTGGGGACTGCATGGACAGCATAGATTGGCCCCTCAGCCTGGGGCAGGGCTGCTCGGGGCTGTCGGTGGTGGGAATCCACTTCCCTTCCCTGTCGTGGTCCCGAGGGAGAGGGGCAGGTGTGTATGTGTCTGTAGGTCTGTGTCCGGCCCTCAGGCTGGGTGCCCCCTCTGCCTGCCTCATGGCTGCTCCTCTCCACAGTCTGCCCCGGCCGGCCCCCAGGCTGCCCAGCACGCCTCAGAGGAGCAAGCGGGGCAGCAGCTTCCAGGAGTTTGAGAGCAACACCAGCGACGCCTGGGACGCTGGTGAGGACGACGACGAGCTGCTGGCCATGGCCGCCGAGAGCCTGGACTCTGAGGTCGTCATGGAGACGGCCCACCGCGTCCTGCGCGACCACAGCCAGCGGCAAGGGCAGCAGCGGCTGCGGCCAGAGCCTCCCTCAGGCCCCCCCGCCAGTGACCCCCGGCTGGTGAAGTCGGTCAGCGAGAGCCACACAAGGCGCCCTGCAGGTGGGACGGGTGACCATGACTTGGCCTTCCCACCAGGGTCTGTGGGAGGGCGATGGGGTCCTCACATGGCGGGGCATAGGGGTGGGTGGGGGTGTCCCACTGTGACCAAGAGCAGGGACCGCTGCCCTTACTTAGTCCCTGGGGGAGACTCCCACCATGGCCGAGGGAGGGCAGGGACTGCTGGCATGAGCTCGGGGCTGGCTCAGCACCCTCTGTAAGTCCCTTGCAGGTAGGGTCCACGTGCTTTTGTCTCTGCCCATCCTTGGCGTCTTTTCTGCTCAGAATTCTCCTCAAGGGCCGGGAGAGCCTCTGGGCCTGGCTGGCCCTGCCCTGGCCGACACCCAGGGGATGCTTGCTTGAGGGGAGCCAGGCTCTCTCTGTAGGAGGTGGGGGGTGGAGGGGGGGTGTCTGTGTGGCCTTGCTGCCCAGTGCCCAGCTCCCTCTGTGAGATGCAGTGGGTGCGGTGCCCGGCTTGGGGCAGTGTCCAGCAAGCCACAGGCGCTTTGACCGTCACCCATTTCTTCCATGCCGGGCCCTCGCCGTCTTGGTGAAAACCTCCACAAGCTGCCCAACGGCTCCTTGTGGCACCGGGCTGCCTGGGGTGGGCATGAGCCTGGGGCTTCACTGCACAGACACCCGGCTCGTGAGAGGGTTCCGAAGCCCCTGGGTGGGGGAGTGTGGCGGCCAAGGGGTCCTTAATGCAGTTGGTCAGACAAGGACAGTGGCTGGTGGAATATCTCAGTTTTTCTCACTCTGCACCAGCCGTGTTACCTGGCAGTATGCCTGCTGTCCCGCGGGGCACCCTGTAGCTCTGGCCTGACAGCCTGGCCACCTCCCCTCAGGTTGGGGCTGGGGACAGAGCTCCTCAAAGCCCGAGTGGTGCTGGTCTAACTGGTCACCCCTGAAGGCGGCCGCCCGTAAATGGGGCTTCCTGCCCAAGGGGAGGCCTAGTCTGCCCCACACCCCCACTGCTCCAGATTGTTCTGGAGGTCGGGGTCTTGGGGTACCTCAGAGCACTTGGCTGGGCCCTGCAGGAGGAGCAGAGGTGCGGCTGTGGGCTTTTCTGGGAAGTAACTGGGCCAGGTCTGCCCTGGGGCTGGTAGCTGGCTCCTTGTAGCCCTGGGTGTCTGTGTGAAGTCCCCTCCCTTCTGCAGTGCTCTGAGCCCTGCCTATGGGGGTAGGGAGCATGTGTGTGGGGTCTGGGGCTGCCTGCTCGAGGGCCTGGGGCAGGCCTGGAGGAGGGCTGCTGGGACCACGTGGGGAGCCTGTGAGAGGTATGGGGCCTCTGCAAGAGGCCTTCGGTGGGGGGACACTGCTAGGGGACATGTAGGGAATCTGGGACACGTCTGTGGAGAGGTCTGTGGGGTCTGCAAGGTCTGAGTTGGGGCTTGCAGGGGTTCTTGGAGACTTGAGGTGAGGGCTACTGGGGGCTATGTGTGTAGGGTTTGTGGGGTCTGCAGGGGTTCTTCTGGGAGCATGTGGGCGCCCAGGGAGCAGTGGCCTTGTTGCCCACATGCTGCAGTGGCCAGGGTGGGCGTCAGGCTTTGTGTGGACTGGCTTTGTTCTGCCCCATTTAGTGGGGTTATTTTTACTCCGCTTTAAACTTGAGTTTTAAATAAGAAAGACTGCCAGAGGGTGTTGAGCCTCAGGCACACAGAGCTTCAGGCCCCTGCTTGTCTGTCATGTGGTGGGTGGTGGGTGGTGGGGTGGTGGGGTGGTGGGGCCTGTCTCAACCTTCCGCTTCCTCTTTGGCCTGCTCACAGGACCTGGACATCTGTGGGATCTTGGGCAGTGACAAGGCCCCAGGCAAGGGGCTCGAGGCCAGTTCTGCAGGCTGCCCCCATTCGGGTACCACCTGCTGCCCACCTGTGTGGGGCCTGGGTAGGGTCCTGGGACAGTGGGCTTTCCTGGAGTGTCTCCTGGGGGTTTCCCTCCTCCTCACGTGGGACTGGGGGGAGGGCATCCTCTGCTCAGGCCAGAGGACCAGGCCCCTCTAGCCTCAGATCACTGTGCCCATTGGGCTGGCCTGGTCGGAGTGACCTGGGCACTCTCCCTAGTGTGGCTCCCACGCACTTGCATGGCAGCAGCGTCTCTGTTGGCAGGTCAGGTCATGCTCCTGGTCATGGCCAGGGCCATGGGTCCAGGGGCCCCAGCGCCCAGCCTGTGCTCTGCTTCTGGAGTGTGTGGGCCCTTTGTCATGAGAAGCCCACCACCGAAATGCTGGGACGATTCTTGCCCTCTGCCCTCTCCCCTCTGACCCTCTGTTCTCTGCTCCTCTGCAGAGGGTGCCAGCGAGTCCACCCACCTGCAGCGGTCGCAGTCTCTACCCCACTCGGCCACCGTGGTGCTGAGCGGTGGGGTGTCGGACCAGGACCACAGTGTCCTTGGCGGCACAGCCCTGCGAGAGAGGGAGGCCTCTCGGATGGACAAGTTCCAGCAACTGCTCGCAGGTCCCCACACAGACCTTGGTGAGTCTACTCTGCAGGGACCGTGGCCCATGGGGTGGTGGGACTGGAGTGAGGGCTCTACGTAGGTTGTGGGGTTCTCCTTGAACTTTCGGCTGCGCCGTGCATCTACTGCACTCCCTCCACAGCCAGTGTGGGTCTGGGTGGCCCTGGAGCACTGGCCGCTGGCTGATGCAGACAGTTCTGTTGGGCCTGATGTGCTGTGGCCTTGCCCCTGGGGTTTTGGCGACCTCTTCTGGCTTCTCCTGCCATGGGAGTGAGGGGCTGCTGTGAGGTCAGTGGGGCTGTGGGGGCGGGACTGGAGGTGGATGCTGGCCAGGGTTGACCGCTCCCTCTATGAGCTGAGGGGAGTGGGGTGATCTAGTGGGCTGCTAAGGGCCCGGCCCTGTGTGAGGGCTGCGTGGGGGCTCCCTGGGGTGGGTCCTGGTTGGGCACAGACAGCTGGTCTCTGAGGGCCCGGCATCTCGCTGGTGCTGGTGCTCAGCAGAGGCTCAGGCTGGGGACTGGGCAGGAAGTCCTGTGGACCTGCCAGGATGTGGGCCTTGTTGGAGTTGCCAGGGCAGTCTGCTGCCTGCTGCCCTTTGGGCAGTGGAGCTGGCCACAGCAGGGCCGCTTGCAGGCCCTTCCCCCCTGGGAGCTGTTGAGCGCCTTGCCGTTGCACTCCCGGGGCCCCGGCAGTGAGGCTCCGGGTTCGAGGTCAGTCCAGGGCCGTTCTTCACAGGGCCTCTGCGTCCCGGCTCCGCTCATGTTCCATTCTCACCGGGCCATGCGCAAGGCTGTGTGCTCCCTGGTTTGGAAGCAGCTCTGCGGCAGGGCATTTGGTGGCTCGGTCATCGGAGGGTTTAGGTTTCGAAAGCCTGTTTGTGTACCTGTTACAGATTCCCGATGCGGCGAGGGGGGGGGGGCGGCGGTCAGCTCCTAGCCGCCTCTACTGTTACCACCGCATGGGCTTCCCCTAAGCTTCTTTCCCACGAGGCTCAGCGTGGGGACGGCGAGCTGCAGGGCAGGGCCAGAGACTTCCCAGGCTCTTTCTCCAGCTGGCTCCACGGGGCTCCCGGTCCCTGCAAGCATGTGTGGCCGCTGTGTGCGCATGTGCACGCACCTCTCTGAGCCAGCTGGCGGGCGCTCTCTCAGCTGTGCCCCTCACTCCTGCACTGTGTGCTGCCCAGCAGCCAGAACAGGCTTGTCCCTCGCCACCATGTCCTGCAGGACGTTCCACCATCCAGCCCGACGACGCGGCCTCGGGCCTGTCCCCACTGCCCGTGTCCTGGTGTTGTCCCTCCCGCCTTGCTCACCGTCTCTCCTGTCCTTTCGTAAGCCTTCTGATACTCATGAGCCTCAAAGCCAGCCAGCTCACCTGGCGCTCCGTCGCTTAGGACTGGCCCCACCGGAGCTCTGCAGCGCGTGCCATCGCCGGCACGTGTCCTCAGGTGGGTTCCGAGCCCTCGTGACCGTCTACTCGACAGAGGGAAGCACCGCCTGCCCTGCGCCAGCCTCCAAGTGTTCCTGTGCTTGTGCCCAGCTGCAGCCACGGACACCGCTCTCTCGTGGTCCTGTCGGCTGCTGGAGGGGAATGGTGTGGACTGGGCCCGTGTTTGGTGTGGAGGGCAGCAGGAGGGCCAGGCCCAGTGTACAGAGGGTGAGCTAGGCTCCCCAGGGAGCAGCTGGCTGGGGTGCTTGGGTGTCAGGCGTCTCGTGGGTGTGGGTGGGCCACAACGGAGCGGAGCCGTGTGTCTGCAGCAGGGCTTGTTGTTACAGGACAGCCAGGGGCCCTGTCGGGCCAGGTGGAGGGTGGGGCACCTGGGCATGCTCCGTGCCATGCCTGCTGTGAATCCTGGCTCCATGTCCGACTCCCCAGAAGAGACCCAGGGTTTAGAGGGCAGGGCACCCCTGCCACCAACACCCCGTCAGGTCATTGACCGTGGTGGCTTTCTCATTGCTGTGCCACTGGGAACCAGGTCACCCACGCAGACGGGTTTCAGCTGAGCTTCTGGACGCAGACAAGTGGGAGAAAGGCCTGGTGATCAGTCAGCTGCAGACAGTCCTGGGACATTGTCTGAGGCTGTGTTGGGAGGTGCAACACAGACTCTTGGTAGGGAGGCTGGCACTGGCTGGGAGCTACACCCTGAGGTGCCACATGGGGTGCTGGATGGGGGAGGTGCCGCAGGTGCTTTGGGAGCGTGAGGGGCTAGGAAGGGAGTGGGGACAGGCTAGGGGTGGATCGGGCCCCAGGCTCATACTCACAGCCTGTGGGTGACACTTGTTAGCTGGCCGGTATCACCAGCAGTATCCTGGGTGCCCCAGGCCACGGTTCCTTCTCCCAGGCCCTGTGGGGTGGCTCAGAAGGTGGCATCCTAGAGGCTGGCCTTTAGTTCCCTGCAGGCAGCGCGGCAGCCACTAGTTCATAGAGTGCCCTCTGGTGGCCGTTTCTGGGGTTGCAGCCTGTCCACAGCCAACCTGCCTGCTGTCCGCACTTGGATGGATGTTCCTGTGCACAGGTGGTGTCGTGGGAGACAGATGGACAAGCGCCCTCGCTCATGGTCCCTCAGCTGCTCCCTGTCCCACAGCCCACAGCCCCTGCTGTGCCTTCGGTGAGGTCCTTGGCCCCCTGCCCTGCTCTCCCCCTCAGGTAGCCCCATTCTTTTGGTCTTGGGCCCCTGAGTCCAGTGTGTGCCCGAGGTATGGTCAGTGTTCTTGTGGGGCGGGGAGGGGTGTCTTAAGGTGGAGAGCTGGGAAGACCCAGCCCCATCCCTGTTGTGGGACTCTGGGAGCACTCTAGGCATGGTGGGTGCACAGCCTGGCCAGAGGGCTCCTGACTGCCCCTGCCCCGGCAACTGGGCACAAGCTGACCAGGGGCTGCTCCCTGCTGGCCTCCTGACCACCATCCTGAGATGTACCCAGTTGGGCTGGGCGCTGAGGCGCCTGGCCAGGCTGTGGGGACAGTGTCCTGGCTGCTTCTCAGTGGGTGCACCACAGCAGCAGGGCCCCTGCAGGCGTGACTCTGCTCGCGAAGCCCGGCGTCCTAATCCATCCTGTCACTGCTGGTCCTTGTCTCTACGGCGGTGGGAATGCTTAATAACAGCCAACCGCAAGGTCCACAGTTTGAAACCACCCACCTGATGCTCCTTCCGAGAAAGACGAGGCTCTCGACCCTCATAAAGGGTGCAGGCTTGGAAACCCCAGGGGCAGTCCCACCCTGTCCTCTAGGGTCAGCATCGATGGCATGGGGTTTGGTTTTTGTTTTGTTTCGAGCAGTTACAGGCGGGGGGGAGGGGGGTGTTGTTCCGGAAGGGGGCCTGGTGGCACAGTGGTTAAGTGCTCAGCTGCTGAGGGATTGGTGTTTTGAGTCCAGCAGCTGCCCTGAGGGGGACGACGAGGCAGGCTGTGCAGAACTGGCCTGGGACACCCCATGGACAGCTGGCTGATGACTGGGCTGGCACCTCTGCTCCAGGGCCTTGTTTTCAGAAGTGGACCACAAGGCCCGGCTTCCTGGTCAGCCTCAGCTGGGCACTCTGCTGAATACTGCCCACTCCAGGTGGCCCCGTTGGCTTGAGAAGTCCCAGGGCTGTGCCTTCCAGCATCCCAGCAACGGGTAGCCATGCAAATGTGGCAATGCTGGCAGACACGCAGTGGCCCTTAGTGACAGCTGGCTGCGCCATTGCCATCTTGTTCCCCTTCCCATCCGCCCTGAGGCAGTGGGAGGTCCGTGTGGTTTGTGATCTGTCCCCCCACCCCCTGCCGCCCCAGTGGGAGGTCCAGTGACTTGTGATCGTCTTCCTGTTCCCCTGTGTCCCCAGTGCCTCCCCACAGTACCCATATCTGTCCTCTTTAATGGCTGCACAATGTTTTGAAAATAATCTTTACTTAAAGTTATTGAAACTGCATGTCTGTCTAAACCAACATTTAATTTAAATGTAGACCTGTCTTGCCATCCTGAGAACACGTGTACCCTCAGGTGTACGGCCACGGCAGCTGTGGTTGTATGGGGCGGGGGCGGGGCTTCGGGGCTGAGAAAACACCAGAACTCTCCCTGTGAAGGTGGGATTGGAACTCATTTGTTTTTTATTTACTTTTCTTTTGAATAGACAAAGTCTCTTTGTACAGTGTTCAGGAATTCTTGTGCTCCGTGAGATAAGCTGCCCTCTGCACGGCCCCTCCCTTCAGGATGCTGTGTGAGCCCCTACGGGGTCAGGGGTCATGGGCTCTGGTTGAGCTCCAACCAGGAGCTTGGAACTCTTCGTCCACCCAGAGCACTGCGGGAGAAAGGCCTGGCGGTCCACTCTGGAAGATGGGCTCTGAGTCCCTGTGGGCCCGTCCTGCACCGACACGCATGGGCCTGAAGGGGTTACAGTCACGGGGCACCAGGAGTTGGCTTGATGGCTGTGGGTCACGGCCAAGGTCACTGCCATCTTGTGACTTTGGGGAGGTTCCTGACCTCCGCCTGTGTGCAGGGACCCCACTGACTCCCATCAGGGTTCCCTCCTCCTCCATGACTGCTGCCGCCAGCACTGTCCAGAATGACAACCCCCCCCAACCCCGCCCCCCGCACCCTCCCTCCCACTTGTGGTTGACTAGTTAACCAGTAGGAGGCGTCTTAGCTGGGAGCCCTGGGCTCATTGTCGGTACGTGGGGTCAGCAGTTGGAAACTACTAGTCTCCCCTGGGAGAAAGGAGGCGTTCTTCTCCAGGTAAAGAGTCACAGTCTTGGAAACCCACAGGGACGGTCCTGCCCTGCCCTCTTGGGCCGCTGTGAGTCAGCATCACTCCATTGCCGGTGTTGGCTGCTCTTCCTGCGGGACGGCTGGTGTGTGTGGGCAGGGGTGGACTGGCCAGCATCTCTTTGGACCTTCTCCCCTGGGCGGGGAGCTGCCCCTGGCACCCATTTGTTATGACCTGTTTCCTTGGCCACCCTGCCCAGCTCAGGGCCTGTGCTGGGGGCTGGCTCCTTGGGACTTCTGGGGAAGGGGTTCATGGGTCACCAGGTGACATACCCCTACTTTGGAG